TCTTATTCTAGCCATCCTTTTTTTTTTTTTTTTTTTGTCATTGTAGACATTCATTTAATATAGGTATTCTCAGAGCATGTAGTTGTTTCTCTGAAGACATTTAGTATGTTCATGTTTGTGTATGATTTTTACATCCAGAGTTGAGAAAGAAAAAACTAAACGTTACTCTCTTTTAGTTCTGTTATTACAAAATTTTTACAGCTTTTTAGAAACTGGTGGTGGAATGTTGTGGAGTATCATCAACATGTAGTGGTGGTCCTGTCGAGGGTTCAGCAACTTAAAAACTTCCAGGCTTTCAGAACATGTAGACAGGTGGATCTAGAGGAATAATCTGCCGAGTTAGAAGACTGATGCCGGTAGCTGTCTTTGGCAAGCTGAGAAAGAATTTCTTCATTCAGTTTATCTTTCTTGTCCTAAACTTGGCTGTTACAAATAATAAGTATTTGAATAGTTAAAGTGCTGTGACAACATGCATTTTCCAGCATGGTTCTGGTACTCAAATTAATCAAAGTACTACTCGCCATGCATTGGTGCTGTATAAGGCATTGAAAGTTACTTGAAGATATATTAAATGAACTCTTAAAATGTAGCCTAGGTGACCAAATAGAAGATGTTAGGCACAATGAAAGGACAAATGGTAGAGTGACCACAAAACAGTGGGAGATTTTAGGCAAAATAATTGCATATAGCAATTTTATGTAAATATAAGACTGCATGTGGGTATGCTATCAACTGCTTTCACATAGTGATTCCAGTGGGTATGCTCTTAATGTTTAAGATCAGTCATGAAAGGTTTGCTCATGTGGGGTAAATGCTTTCAACAACAATGAATGACAGTACACAGGTTCATTGGAGGCTTTCATCCTTTGTTTAAAAGGGGGGAAGAAAATAATAATAAAAATGAAATTTGGTGCTCATTCTACACCTGTAACTTCCAGAATTCATTAAGGGGTGACTGCATTTGGTATGACTCTCAGTAGAGTAACACTTGTTGAAATCTAGAAAACACAGCCAAGCAGCTTCAGTCCTCATTCGGAATTCATGTCTGTTACTCTCTTGGCAGAATATCTTCTATCCATTAGAGTATTGCAGATGCAGATAGAAAATGTAAAGGCATTCTGCCTGAACGCTTAGATGATGAGACAATAAGAAGGTTTATCCAGATGTCTAAAATATTACTGTTAAATATATTGGAAAAATTACACATTGACTATTCTAAAAAGGATATTTGGTTATTTTGAATTTAATAGAAAAAAAACCCTGTATTGCTAGATATTTTTATCCATTTGTTAAAGTCACTGCTCATTACTGCCCATTAATAATGGTGGGTATGGGTACACTGGAGAAATTAAACTTACTACATGTTGACTTATTTTCTCTTGAAGTAACATATCCACCAATCCGGACCCAATCTATCATACTTAAAATTGAATGCAAAATTCTGAGATTTAGGTTTTGGGGGAAAAAATGAAGAGATTGGTTTGAAGTTGTGCGTAATAGTTGAGTCTGATTTATTAGAAGCCCTCTAGATCTGTATAATTATCTGGTGGGAAGCTGATTTGGTGTGACTTACCGTCCAGAGATCCTGAAGTGACAGCCTGAACTGCTCCTTTATCTTTGGAGAGAAGAGACTTTACCCATTAGTAACGGATTGCTGGATATATTATTTTAGAGAAAAAAAAGAAAAAGAACAGGTAAGATTTTTCTGCTCTTCTACTATTTCCTGTCTACTACAAAGGCATTCTGTGTCATCTTTGATAGATCAGCTGTTGATCATTTGATGACATGATCAGGTAGCTCAAACTACACGATATCTGAATGTAATGATTTCTGCAAGTATTTCATACTGTGGCTGCAGGCTATAAATAGGCTTTCTGGAAAAAGATAATTTCTAGTTGCAAGTTGCATATATTGAAGATTTAAGGATGCTGGTTTGGGGCTTTTGAAAGTAAAACAGGTAGAGCAAGAAAAGTAAGTGGTAGCTTCTGCAGATAATCTGTATAGAATGTCTGTGATTGTTTTCTTTGTACACAACTAGACAAAAGTCAAGTTATGACATTGTGAGACAAACCGCAGTTTGTCATAAAACAATGTTTCCCATCTGACAAGCAATACAATTAAGTCTTATGAACTTGTGTTTTAAAAAGTTTTAGGAATGTGCCTGACACAAAGTTTATGTGTTGTTTTCAGAAGGTATTGCCTTTTGATATTATACTTCAGTAATTTTGGAATATGGTAATGCATGCACTGGACCAAGACTTCAGGTTATTTTTGACCTCTAGCGGGCATTGGCAAGAGTGAAATTTTAATTTCTCAGTGTGATTGAACTTCAGGGTATGGGGGGTTTTTTTGCACTTTTTTTTTTTTCCTGTCAGTGTTTGTAGGGTCAGAAAGAGCTAGAGGCTGAAGTCAGGGGCACCTTAATGAAAGTTAAACCTAAGTTTTAGATTTAGTTGCTTCGTTTAGTTTCATGAAACTGCTTTTATGGGTGAGACAGCTATTTCAAGGACTTAAAAACTGAAGAATAAAGAATTGTTTGAACTAGTGCATGCATGTATTTTACCTGTATCTGTTGTTTGTGAGTTTGATCATCTTTAATATTAATCAAGGTCAGGTTGGTTGGGGCTTTGAGCAACCTAATCTAGTAGAAGATGTCCCTGCCCACGGTAGGGGGGTTGGAACTGGATGATTTTTAAAGGTCCCTTCCAACCGAAACCATTCCGTGACTCTATAAGTGTAAATTTTAATCTTCAGTATTGATTTGAAGTAATAACTATTGCATTGAGGTTACCATAGTGTAAATGAGATCAGGATCTTGGGTGTTTTGAATTTCATAGATGTGCTGGGATTTCTTACATTGTAAGTCACTACAATGTAAGTATACAATATTGCTGTTGTTTGAACATAGGAAATTATAGGGCAAGGTAAAAAGGCGTAGGTAGGTTTTTGGTAAAAATCTTCACATTTCTTCAGATGCCTATTAGTGGGGGAGACAGGAGGAACGAATACAGTGTGAAGGATTCTAAAGCTTATTGTCGGGTAATTACATGTTTGTAGCTAGCTCAGTACTTAGAAGAGGTTAGGAAAAGTTTTCTAAGTTGGTTTGGTTTTTTTTTCCCTTAAAAAAACAAACACAAAAGGCAAATAAAAATGTGAAAAATGTCCTCCTATTTTTTGTCTTTTACTGTCTTGAAATATATACCTATTTTTAGTCCTATAGCAAGTATTAAGCCCTTGGGGATAACACAGGTTTTCCTTTTCATGGACACTATATTGTTTTATGATGATCATGGAAAACCATTTGCTAGGTCTGAGGCAGAAATAGACTTTTCAATTCTGCAGCCACAGTTGGAAAACAACACAGTTGGGTTTTAGGGACAAAACATGCTGAGTGGTGTTCTACTGCTGTTTTCTTGTCTTTCAATCAAATGTGCAGGCTTGGGGCAGGTTACTGTAAGAGCTTGCAAATTCATCCTTAGTCTTCAGAGAAAACTTAGCACTATGTACATAGTTGCAGCATTACTTATTCCCGAACTGCTGTTGGAGCTGCCTCATCAGTTTGCTGTGAAGGGAAGTGCTAGAGAAGAGAGGTGCAGATGAAAGAGCTGAGAAAGAGGGGGAGGAGCAGAACAGATGTGGAAGAAGGAGAACTTTCCAGTGGTTTAAAGTGGTTTCTTGCTGCTGGCTGACCAACTCATTTGCCCTACTACTATTCTCTGGATCAGAAGAAAAATTGATCATGTAGATACACAATTTATTGCAGCCAATGATGGAATGCATATCTTAAAATCACTTTTCTGTTACCCTTGTAAGCTCAGAGCACAAGAGAAAAGGTTTGTGCCTCTGTCCCCAACAGTATAATTTAAATACTCACTTTGCAAATCAAATAATTGTAAAAATAAACTGAATACTTATAAAAATACCAATAATTATTGTAGCCAGTACTAGCTTAGTTGCATGTATCTTGTGATTTCTGTGTTTCTGCTTAATTATTGTTGGACCTTTTCTTATTTTTCTTAGAAAGAGAGGCCATTTTCTTTAAATAAGAACTAACTTAAATACTTCTGAAGTAATAGTAGCATCCCAAAACAAATGTATAAATAACTGTTAATACAGCTTTCAAGTTACTGAAGTTAAAGTTTTAGACAGAACTGTAAGATAACTATTGGCTTTGTATAGCATTTACAAAAAGTGTTAAGCTCTTTCAAATTTAATGTGGGTAAGGATGTATTTTTTTTACTTCTGCCTTGTCACAAGAAAGGAGGATGTTAGAGAACGTTACTGTTATCAAATGCAGAAGATAGGAGAGCTGTTGAGAAATACAGAATAACAGTGCAGTATTTTGAAAGACAAGGGGATGTTGGTCTGTAAAGGGGAAACTTTTTCAGAAGCATTTATTTTCTGTGGGAAGAGTTTCAGTGCATTATTTGAGATTGGTTTTATGCTATACAGTATTATAGAATATAATATAGCATAGAAAAAGATTATTATACCATGGACTAATTATTGGGAGTTATAAAGTTCAGATAGAAATTTCTTTCAGATTATGTTTCTGTTTTTCTTTTTAAGAATTGCATGGTCATTAAGAATTTGTCTTCCTTTTAGTGTGTTGGAGGTTGAGCCAGAAAAGTCAAACTGAAAGATCTGTAAGGCTCCTGTGAATGAGTGCTATATAGCACACTGACACAGTTCTGTTTTTTTCTCCTTAGTGTGTAGTTGGTGGGTGCAATGCCAGCTTTGCATCTCAGGGAGGACTTGCCCGTCATGTGCCCACACATTTCAGCCAGCAGAACTCTTCAAAAGTTGCCAACCAGCCAAAGGCCAAAGAGGAATCTCCATCGAAAGCTGGAATGAATAAAAGAAGAAAGTTAAAGAACAAGAGACGACGATCATTACGTAAGTATTTCCAGAAGTAGAAGTTCTTGAAAGTTTTGTCTTAGATAGGAAGTTTCTCTTCAATGTGGATGTTTCTCTGCAGATGTGGGTCTGGTAGGGTTGGTCATCTTTAGTATTAGAGTGTTGGCATTCCTTGCAATGGGAGTAAAACAATTCCAGATTCTGTTTGTGTTCCTTTTTAGGGTAAAGGACCTATGTGTTCAGTAGAAAAGATCAGTTTTCTGTGAGCAACAGTTCAAGTTTACAATTTAAAGATGCTTTTCGTTTTAGAGTTTTTGTTTACTTACTATGTTACTGTTGGAAAATGTTCTGTTTAGTGATGATGAGATCTGAAGTTCAGTACTGCAGACAGAGACTGCAGATTCATATAAATTAGAGATAAATGCATATTATATAAGTTCTCTTTCAAGCACAACATTTCATTAGCTTAATGACAGTTTTATGAGCATAACCAAGATCTACTTTTGGGCAGATTTGAATTGCTACGTTTTTTTAATCTTTCTCCGCACAGTTGATGATCATTAAATTTATATGAACCAATGTGCTGAGAAGTGTGATTTATCATTTGAAGTGAGTTGTTTCCTCTAGCAAACAATAATCACTTATCCAGTACCTTTTCTAGTCCATTTTCATCCAATTGTTTGATTCCTGAGTTGTCCTAGCATCAGACTAATAACCATGTCAAATTTGTTTAGAGATTCCAATGTACTGAAATGGTTAGGAAAGACTAGGCAATTGTTAAAAAAAATTAACTTTGTTTTATGATTGCTTTGGATGCAAATCTCCAGTACAGAACTGATTATTTACTAATTTTAAACTGTTACTGTGACTGTTGCGTTTTAGAGTAGAGGCATGTAACAACCCATTTAGAATTTTTTCCTGCTAGTATGTCAACAGCTGAAGAAAAAACTTCCATTAATTTTTACCTGTGGTGTAAAGTCAACCTTACAGTATTGGAGAGAAGTAGACCTGTTATATCTCATACTGTCCACAGAAATGGAGTACTGTTCGTAAGCAGGCAATTATTTCAGTCTTGTCTCCTGGCTGGCAGTAGGATTTTAGTGGTGGTGTGCCAGAGAACTTGTGTTACTTTGCTGGGTCAGCAATTATAGTCTTATTTTTCCAGAACTCTTCTGTGGCAGAACACTTCACTGTATTGATCTTTCTGTTCTTGTGAAGAAATACAGTTACCAGTTACTCAAATGGTACTACAACAATGGATGCACATACTAGTGGTCTTAAGTGATTACTCTGTATCACATGATTGTGATTATTCTTAATACCTCACCTGTGTGTTAAGCAACTGAAATTTATGAAGCAGTGGTTATGTTTCTGCCTTGAACGCAAAGAAGTCTGTCCTGGAAAGTTACAGTGTCACCTAGAATTCTGAAAAGTGTATTTCCTGTGTGTGTCTTACACACACGCACACAACTATGCAGTTCAGTGCTAGAAGAGCCACTGTTAACTTTAGTTATGGTGATTTTTTTTTCTTTTGCTTTTTTTTTTAAATGCTTGGATATTCTTAAAATATATGTGAGCAAATTATATCATTAGACACATCTTAAAAGTGTGAACTTGAAGAATTCCTCTAATTTTCACACTGATTCAACACTCAAAGAAGGTAGAAAGCTATTTTTGTTCTTTTCAGAATTTTACTTTCAAAGAGCTTTCCCTTTCACTCTAGCAATCTATGTAAATGAGAAGGTTCAAGAAGGGAAGACTGATCAGTGAAGGGTTATGCGGTCACTTTGCAGTATCCTTTTAGTTCATCTTAGATGTAATGAGAGACTTAGTTGAAATAGTTGCATGTTCCTAAAGGGTTACCTTGATTCGTTGACTGTGTTACTCAAACAAAATATAGATGTCTAAGTCTTGTCACTTCAAAATTTTTGCTTTCAGAGATTCCTGAGTTGTATCTTGGGTTGTGTCTCCATATTGATTTTGTTAGGTGGCTGATTTAATGCATCTTAATTCACTTTTTCCCTCATTATATACAGAAGTAGTTTTTCAGGTTGGCATTTTATTAGTAATTGATGAACATTATTGACTTACAAATTTCAAATCAGAGCTTCGTAGTTAACTTCAAATTATCTGCTAAGATGTTCTAGTCGTAATAAGAATTTACTGCAGAATTCTTGAATGAATCTATGGCAAAAAATGTAAGTAGTAAATATGGGTATATTACAGACCAAAATGTAGTACTTCACTTGATCAAGACAGCAGACCACTGTTGCGCAGGAAGAAAAATGACAGCTGCTTGAGCAATTTTTTATTTTCTTGCCTCTTGAGACAAATGCAATGTTGGCTGTAGAGTTTTGCCTTAAGGCAAAAATCATCTCCAACTGAGTTGGGAATGATGACTGTAATGTATTTCTCCAGAGGGTATGTGACCCAGAAATGTATCTGAAGTTGATGGCATTTTTTGAAAATGCTAAGTAGTGGTAGCTTTTCTTTAAAACTTTGTGTGGATTATTGTTGATTAGGTGAACTTGACAAAGGGCTGATACAATTTTGCTTGTCTTTCTGTTTCTTAGCTTAGTTTTAGTTAGAGTGAAGTGTGCAAGTTTGTATATTTTGTCTTTACAAGAAAAAGGGGAGGGGGTAAGGGCCCTTGTCTAAGAAGCCAAAGTAACAAAATAACAGCATTAAGTATTTTCAGTCTACAGTATATAAAGCTAGGAACATAGATTTATATTTAGGTATTTTAAAAGTGTCCAAAAGAAGAGGTGTTGAACATATGTACCAGGTTCTCTGCAAGTTGGGTTACAAGAAGTTATGACAAATGGTTGTAAAGCAAAATGCTATTTGATAGTGTACGATCTGTTTAAATCACTCACATAGTCATTTGATGAAAAAAATGAGTTTTGCATCACAAAACAATTTTTCTCCTGAATAAATGTTGTCAACATGTTCTTTATACCTCCTTATGGTTCAATTAGACCCTGGCTTTTTTTGTAAGGTGTAAGTGGCTTACTAAATATTTATTGGCAGTTGATTGCTAATACATGCTGCTATTGAAGCATCCTCGTGTATAAATTCTTAACGGTTTAAATACAGCAAGTCAATAAATTTGCTTCCTCTATATAGACCTGTGGTTTATATCTAAAGGTTAACACCCTTCTGAGAGACATTAATGCATAAATAAAAAAGGAGACCTTACTGTGGTTTTATATGTGACAAGATCATTGTCTTCTAACTTAGACTATAAAGAGACTTCTTACTGTTACTTGATTTTTTTATTTTTTTTTTCTTTCTTAACGTCTTGCCATTCTTAAACTGTTTTGCATTTCTTTTTTCCTGGCTGTAAAGAGTATGTGTTAAGTTTGGAAATCAGTACTTTTGTTATGAAAGCATGTTTTACTATAGACACCCTTATAGCTGGTTACATTAGTGGTGCTGTAGAGACAATCTGATTTGTCATATAAATTTTGATGTTGCAGAATAATTCAGGATTACAGTCAGTAGCTTGCTTTCTCTTCTGAATAGCCTTAAACACACTCACTGCTCCATGTATACAGTCTGTCATTTAGAGGTATAGAGCTAAACATATTGAAAGTGTATATATCTAAAATAGATATATAGTATTGCTATTCTGAAGCTACTGCAAAGAATTTTGCAGAACCTAAGATTATACTTACAATGTTGTCACTTGCTTTTCCGATAGCAAAGATGACACTACAGTTAACAAGCATGATAATTGAGTTCACTGGAGAAATGTAAGCGAGATAAGGAAACTTACTGTTGATGGAATTTACAGTAAGAATACTAGTTACATAAGACTTGGAATTTCATTTAGTAGGCAACTGGTATGAAGATTTTAATTTATTTGACTTAAGTAATTGATGTGTACTTGGAACTTGTATTAAGCAGGAAGGGAGACACCTTACTCTGACAATAATTTTGAGGGAGTAGATTTAAGATACATAGAAGATACAATATTAACAATCAATAAGGCGTGACGTAAATAAAACTATTCATATGCCTTTGACAAATTGTGCCCTTTCTTCTGCATCTGTTGAATATTGTCCAGTGGTAAATCGTTGTCCAGTGGTAAATCCTGAAGAAATTTGCTGTATGAAACCAAAAGCAAAAATTTGGGGTTGTCTTTTCCTTTTGACCCTCTCTTTCTTCCTCCTTCATATTTATTCATAAAATATTTATATACTTGCATCACTGACCACCTGCAGCATGAGCTGCGGTTCTGTTACCACTTACAGCGAGAAAACATTTCAGTGAGATGATTGCCTAATTGGCAGTATCTAGCTGAGTGAGATAGAGTAAGGACAGAACATAATGTACAGATGAATGCTTAACAACAATTAGTACCAGGAGTGTAGCAAATACTGGTTTTAAGTGGAATTTGTAGTTTGTTTTGGAATAACAGATAGATAATCTTGGTGGTTTAACCTCAGCCAGCAACTGAGCACCACACAGCCGCTCTCTTACCCTCCCCCCCCAAC